ATTTTTGTAGTGCCTTTAATTGTGCTAGCTCTAGTGATGTTAGAAAAGACTTGTCATTTCACAAGTTCCCTCTTAAAGATAAAGAGAGGCTTCAAAAATGGGTGCATGCTGTTCGAAGGAAAGATTTTAAACCTAGTTCCAATACAACTTTATGTAGTTTACATTTCAATGAAACTGACTTCTATTCAGCAGTTGTAAGTGGGAAAAAAATGTTAATAAAATCTGCTGTACCAACTGTATTTGATTTCCCAAATCATTTAACTCCAAAAATTAAAGAAAGGAGAATTCTGCAACGAGAAGTAAGTAAATTATACAATTAATAAAAACAAGTATTTATATATTTTTTATATTATTACATGGCCATTATGTATTAAGAATTTTGTGTTCTTTGATAAAATTGTTGGATATATGTATTTTTAAGGACACAACCACAACAATAGCCGTTCAAAATAATGAAAATATGTTATCTACTTGTAAAACAGAGACAAAGTTTGTAGACATTGGCGTACAGACAAAATTAACTGGGGAAGAATTAGAAAAAACATTAAATGATTTACGCCGAGATAAAAGGATTTTGCAACAGAAATTAATTAGAAGAGATAAACGAGTAAGTAATATGCGTGAAATGTTAAATTTATTAAAAAGTAATCACTTAATTGGAGATACTGTTGAAGATATTTTTAAGAACCAATTTGATTCTTCTCTACCTTTCGCTTTATTTAAAAATGAAATTGCTAACGTAAATAATGCTTCAAATCATAAATTATACTCAGAAGAAATACGGGAATTTTGTTTAACGTTGCATTTCTATTCCCCACGAGCATATGAATTTATAAGGCAAAGAAGTACACTACCAGATCCTTCTACTATTCGTAGATGGTTAGCAACTAAACATTGCAACCCTGGTATTTTACATGAAGTAATTGACTATTTTAAATATAAATTAAAGTCTTTTAAATAAACTATTTATTTATCATTTAATTATTTATATTTTATTAAATTAATAAAAAATATTTTGTGGAAGTTAAAAAAAATAATGAGGTGCAACTACATTTTAAGAACCAAACTAAAATAATATCGCGGTAAAATATGAAATTAAGACATTAGCGCCATGTGCAAGACAAAGATAGTAACACCATTAGTATGTGCTATCTCATTCTAACATCCTCTTTCGGGCAACACTGCTTGGTGAGCATTCCAGTTATCATATAGAGTTCAATGGCAATGATCCACTGATGTCTGATTAATTAATGGTTATCGGTACTCGGTAGATGCACCTATATTCTGTATGTCTAAACACTATTTGTTCCTAAAAGAGTTAAAATGGACATAGGTTAATTGTCGAGTTGTGGTCTACGCTAGAAGCAATGGTTTTAATAGTTATATCACAGTCCACAGAGTTAATTAAATATCATTCATTCTGTGGTTATCACCAGGGTTCAGGACTTTATGTACCTACCTACTTAAGATCATAAAAATATGCATATACATATGCACAATAAAATATAAAAATATGCGCTTAAATATGTGTTTATTTTTAATTTGAAAAAAGACATACCAGTACAAATTATATTTAAAAAAAATGAAATGTGTAATGTGGAGTCACGTTATTGATTATTATTTATTACCTTATCGGCATTATTGCAGACGAAATCATAAGATAAAATTAATTTAGAATGAACAATGTATATTGTATGTAGACTGTAGTGATCGAGAATCTTCGTGACGGATAGGCAACATAAAATGCATATACACACGAGGGTTCTCGAACATTTCAAAGAAAGTTCTAGAATACTCGGTCACAATATACAGCGACGCGACTACATGTCTACACTCCAAAGTTTAGAGTGTTTAGACTCTTATGGTTATGTGTTTGACATGTTTATTGTTAATTAATTCATAAAAAAACCGACGATTAATTCACAAGTATAAATATTGATAGTAAAATAATTTAATATTATATTTATTTTAAACGTTTAAATTAAAATTACGAACCCTAAGTGGATTTAGTGCTCCACGCTGAAACGTACAAAGATCGGGAAATACGCAAACCGTAAACCCACGCGCAAATAGCAAATAAATATTAAATTCTGATTTATTTATTAAATTTTAGTAATCACCGTAATACGGTGTGGTTTTTATTTTTAGTTTTAAATTTAACATGAAAATATCGTCTCTTCATATTCAACAGAAAAATATCCAACCGTATATATATTGTCGGTTCATCGTTCACTTTTCTGATCACGTTAATATTTTTTTATTGCGAAGGATGATTTGGTGGCGCCGGTTGTATACTGATGAATTAGTGATGATTATTTGATATTATTTAGATACCTACAGTAACTTATTTTAAAACTTCAAAACAAAATATGTATAGCATATATAATATAGAATATATAAATATATAGATGCTCATAATGCAAGGTCGGTTTTTGGTTGTAGAGCTTTTTCTTATTATTTTTTTAACATTGTATATGGAAGTACATCTATCGACCTAAATTTCTACTGTTTACTAATTGTGGCACGAACTTTTGTTAAAATTGTACTAAAATCAATATAGGTGATGGACAAATGTGTATAATAATTATAACAATAATATCGATTCTATATTGTGCACAATAAATATCATTAATCTTATGAGAGAGAAAAAAAAGGACATCTACTGTTAAATACGCACTTGGCGTCAGTCATCCGCCGTGAAAATCGAAAAGGGTGTCCCAAACACAATAGTGTCAGGCTCATAAGAAGATTTCTCTTTGTGCCTTCTAAGAAATAATGTGCGTGAATAATAGGTACATCTGCGTTTCCTTATATTTTTTTTCGCCTTTTAAGCTTACAGTTTACCAACTTACCATAACTGTTGAAAATGTTTTCAGTCAATTTTTAAATGTGGTACCTAATTGTATCTTACAAGTATGCGGACTGCGGAGATATTTCTTGTTTATTTATGTACATTTATAGTTTACTTATACTGGTAGATATTATCTTTTAAATAATATGTTAACAAATGTAATTTTTAAAAATATTTAAATGTCATTTGAAACCGTTCTCAAACAACTTATACCCCACGTGTATATTATTAGGTATTTGTTTAAAAAGAATATTTTAATTCACTTAATATAAAGATACGAATAAAAACATATTTCGTGTTATCTTAATCTATATAGTTTTTTTATTGATTTATGTTCGGGTTACACACATAGGGAGAGCTGGAATTTTTATGACACAAAATCATTTTGTGATAAAATCCATGTTGTTGCTTTTTATTGTAATTCAGGACGACTGTAAATAATTGATTTTTTTCTATTCATTCGAGCTATTTACTAGATTGATATAATTTTTGGAGTAGGTACTTTGTCTGCTCTTTTTGTGTTATTTCTTTTTATTTAAGTATGATAAAATTTTTATTTTTGGGGCTAAGAAACTTAAAAATTTAAAATAAGTTGTTCTGTTTGAGTTTAAAAATATGAAAAATTAACACAAAATATAAGCATTTAAAGTTAAATTTAATTCATTTAGATCATGAAAATATGCAAACTATTTTGCTGTTAAAAAATGTTATATTTTTAAATTTTTTTAGCTGAAGTTTAAAATTTGATATAAGATTTCTCAGAAGTTCATTTATTGGAAATTAAAAAAAAAAATAAAATAATGTTTTAAAACAGTCCACTATTACTTAAATAATAATTGTTGATCTCTATAACTCGTACTTCGTGAAATTTCTAAATATTGATATTTTTCTAATTGTTAATACTTAATAAATATTTTTGGCTCGGTCAAAAAGCTTAAAAATTTAGTAGGTACAAGATATAAGCTATTTTTATACCAATTAAAAAATTAAAAAATTCACGTTCAAGATTTTTTTATTGTATGCTTTAATAAGGTATCATTATTTTAATTAAAAATAGTTTTAGAATAAAAGATAATAAATAGTTTGAGGAGTGGGGCCCAATTTGACAATAAACATTAATTAGCTAATTTTTCATTTGGTTACTTTTGAGTAAAGAAATTCGAAGGAACATATTAAATTATTATTTAACTTTGTATTATGTTTCAAAAATCAATTAGATATATGTATTAATAATAAATAATACTTAATTATATAGAAAATGTCTAACTCAATGTATTTAACTATTATAGAACATTAGAACAGCCAACAGGAAAAAGTGTCAAAAAATAAAATAACTAAATAATAGATGTTGCCAATAGCCAAGTCTAATACTATATTATTTTATGTTACAATTGTTGGGAAGCGGTCACGTACTCACGTATACCTGCACCAATATCGGCGTGGAGACGTTGAGTGTGGTGCAAATGAAACGGCCTGATTTTCTGTTAGTGGTTATTAAAAAGTATAATTAATAATATTTCTTTTTGTTTAACATCGAATTGCATTAATTAAAAATATAACGTGATGGAAAAGTATTATCAATATAATAATTGAGGATATATATATATCGATACATTGTTACTATCACTACACATGACATTAAATTGCAATCGGTTCGTTTATTGCTGATGTTTTGGATGTATTCCACGGTTGTATTTTACTATTTCCGAACAAGACGAACGGGACAAGACATATAATGAGTATTGCGCTCAGGCACCAACAGACTTCGTTCCATGCCACCTGATCGGTAGATTGTCCGAAGGTCACCATGAAAGCTATGTGAGTTACGTTCATGGCGAGACTGCCGAAAACATCACAAATGGCCGTGATCACGGCCACGAAATTCGGAGCTATTTCCATCTGATTGATCCGGAAACCGGAGAACACCGAACCGGAGACACTGTACGATATTACTAGAAGACTGTAGAAGATAAAGGTATTCGGTATGACCGTCGCGACCGAAACAAGGACTGCTGGCGCCGCCATGCCGATACAACTGAAAACCTAGAGAGGAATTTGACAACACTTCAATATCATTGATCATTTAATAATATAATCTCATCGATTAATATGATATAAAAAAGTTGTAATTTAAAATTTTTAGGATATAATACTATGTCACGGCAGTGTTGGGCACTAGAACAATACGTTATATTTTCTTCCAGTTGCGTGACTTGTATTGAAATACGTATGTCATAGTAGTTTCTGTCGTACGAATAAAAATAATATGACGTTACGGTGTGCATTTTTTCACGCCTACACTTTAATATAGAAACGAATCTTCGATCAATACATTGATTCGTGTGGTAACTACCGGTTCACGGTGGTAAGTCGTACAGAAACGGGTTCGGGTATCGCCACTCGGGCACTATTCGTACGCGAAGCGCGATTAAACGATCGCGGACACTAGTTTTACCTTTCTGATGGTCGAGACGTTCATCCAGTCTTTGGCCTGGATCAACGACGCGCACCTGCCGGCCGTGTACATGACGGCTATCTGGCCGAGCGACGGCAACGTGGACATGAGACCGTTTTCCACGATGTCCACTTGCATCGTGTACTTGAGGTACACGGGCATGTACACGATGAGAACTGTGTAGAACACGGTCGAACCGAAATTGGCCACCATTACCGACAACACGGGAAGCGAAGTGGCGATTTTCGTCCACGGCACCGGCAGCCGGGCCTTGGGTTGGAGGCTGGTGGTCAAGCGTTCGAGCTCGGATGGCCGGACGCCCGGGTCGTCGGCCGGATGATGGTGGCACGTCAAGAACCAGGCGATGCTCCACGCCACGCAGAATCCCTACATTATAGAACAGAGGTCGGGTCACAAAAAATATCACGACAAACCTAAACGGATATCCGGTAGGGGACAGCTCGACGAATAAAAATATCAAACTAAAAATGTCTTAAAATTAATGTTTATGCGTTTAAATGCTTATCGGACGATTCGTTCAAACGTCCGTCCGATAAACAATTTTATATACACATACGTAATATAGCCATATGTGGACGTAACCAATAGGTGTTAGTATTAAAAAAAAAAAAAAGATTTTTTTTTCTCGGCGGGGGCGATGACCTAAAAACCGTATACGGTTATTGTTTTTTCTCATGAATAATATGCATTGTGACGTATATACTAACGGACATGATGAAAAAGCTGTAACCGAAATCGCAACCGTGCAAGGAGTAAAAGAAGCCGGTGAACAAGTTTCCGGCCACTATGCCGCCGGGTACGCCCGTACTGATGGCGGAGTACATGTACGCCAGTTCGTCGGGCGGCGCCCAGTTGGACAGCATGACGTTCATGAACGGCCACCACGAACCGGCCAGCGCGCCGTTGACGGCGTACACGGCGCCGGTCACCAGCACGGGGATGGCCGACGACCACGGTGTCCACGACCACGACGAGAGGCCGATCAGCGCGAACGGCGAGACGGCCGACGTGGCGGCCAGCCCGGCCAAGATGACGGCCAGCGAGGTTACCGGGTTCAAGCGGTCCGCGAACAGCCCGGTCGGCAGCTGGACGAACAAATACGCCACTTGGTAGACGACGTTCATCGCGGAATACGTGTCGCGATTTCCGGTGGCGCTAATCACCATCTGATTGGAGTGGCTCCGGGTAGCCGTGACCAGGTAGACGCCGACCATGAGTGCCACCATTACCTGGCCGCGGGCTGTTATCAAAAACGTCTGGTAAGTCATCGCACTTCCGGTCTGTACCGCGACGCGTCGGCGCACACGTTACGGTGCACTTGTCTCGGCACTATGCCGGGACAGTGGCTCCGATTGTTGTGCCGGTGTTCCGATCGCCGTTGAGGAAATAGAACAAACTCGTTGAAGGAACAAGGAGAGCGTGCTATAAAATATTATAATACGATATCGTGCGATTTTGAAAAATTAATTCGCATCGCGACGTTCGCGTAATATTTATTGTGCGTTCTTATAGCAACGAACTGATTCCAAACGCGTTTGTATATAGCGCGGACTACGCGTGTTTTCGACAATCATAAATCGTAATTTACAATTCACACGCGCAGCGAGCCATGTTTTCTACTCAAATGTGAAATGAGGGATACGAGCGAGACGACGATCTAAGTACCGGGCGTAACGACTAATTGAACAAATATTATCTTAACTCGGTACTTATTATGTATAGGTTTAGACTACTTAGACCTTTTTTTCTTACAAGTTCATAATTTCGTTACCGGAGGAGTACTTGCTGTACATTGTTGATAGTGATATAACGTCCGAAATTCCACGGGCTCGGCTATTGTATTTTGATTTGATGTATCGAGTGATAAACGCGCCTAAATCACGACGAGTTAGATCGTAGACACCCGCGATCTGAGTACGGACGACGAGCGCTATTGCGCCTGATATATGATCGGATTGGCAATTACATTCTCTTTAAAGTCCACCGAGAGGCAGACTGCGATCGACCACTATTCGTGTCAGTCGATCCGGACAGTGAATAATACGTAGAGTCAGTCGACTTACTGACTCAAGTGATCAAATATGAACGTTTCGATTTCGTCCTCGATGAAACCGAAATGAACGCCGTGGCATCTTTTTTTTCGAATTTGCAAGCGTCTGAGATGACGCTGTTTTTCAGATATCTCTTGAAAAATATAGAATTAAATATAGATCCCATCATGTAAACACAGGTATTGATTATTATTCTTTTCTAACAATTATATTGGTTTTGACAGGTAACCTGTAGAAACGTGTGTATAACATGAAGTATTATTAATAAATATTAATGCTTATGATAACAACACATCAGAAAGGATTATCTATATTTTATGAATAATTTATGTTTACCTAATAACGTAAAATTAAATTGTAAAATAAAATTTTTATTTTTAAAATAAATAAATACATTTTGACCTTGTTTATAAATTAAAAAATTAAGTGTTTTATAAAAGTTATTGGTAGAATCAGCTCTAATATTACAAACCAGTGTCGTAGCTAGGTGAATGTGCTATAAATAATCTTTAAGGGTGGGAGTGATATGGCACTATCAATAGTATTTAGTCTTACGTCGAATTTAAGTTACTCGCACATTTAAATTACATGCATGTGTAATGGCAGATGGATAAATTTATCTTAATATTGATTTCGGTTTCTAATGAATGTTTGCCCATTTCCATAAAATGATTTTATCTCGAATAAAATATTGATTTTTGTGATAAAGTCATGAATATTGAAAGTTTCATAGATAATGCTGTAAACGAGATGAAAACATAGTGAATGCTAATCCTATATCAAATTCCTAATTACGTCACTGTTATACAAATAAAAAAAAATATAAAGTATAAAACTATACTACGATTATGTACGTATACATAAAATACATTTAGACGTTCGTTAATACCGAACTTGACTAAAACAGTGTACATCATTACCGTTATAATTAAAATACACTTAATACTAATACAGTACAGTATTATACAATATATTATTTATATAAATAAATTAATCAGCTAAAATTGTTATCACGAAGACGCAAACATTTATAGGTGGACATAGAGATGAGGAATTTTTGTCATTAGTTCTGAGTTCTTACATACACGTAATCTTATGAAACGTAAAATTTATTTTTAAAATTTTTAGATTTATCTCGTATTGTTACAACATTTTTGTGATAGCCACGTAACTATATTTTATATTATATCGAGGATCAAACAAACGAACAGTTTACAACCATTATAACGCTGATTGCGAATCAGCTTATACGGGTTTGTCAACGTCAGAAGATTTTAAAACGCCCGTTATCGAAATAAAATACTTGTCCGATAAAACCGTTTGTCTGGTCGCGGAGTCGACTGCAGCGAACAGTACAATATCGCACGGCCGAGAAATCGCCGTTTTGGTCCGGAAACGACGCGTAGAACAAACGTTTTCGTACGCACACAATTTCCAGTATATTATACAATACGACGTATTATCTTCATTGGTTTTACGAAATATAGCGATCAATTTATTTATAAGTTACGTGGGGGTGCCAAGTGCGAAAACGCATACTTTTAAAAACGCGTTAAAAAATAACGCGTGTTTTTCGCGTGGCGTTTGACAAAAAATAAAATAAAAAAAGGACAGGTGCCTCTACTCCAGGTGCGAATTCAGCGGTAAGATGTGGGGCGGAGTTAAGCTGTGTTTTATTTAGGAAAAAATATTTCATAACAAATTTTAAGTTATTTGTGTAGTATTTAAGTTATTTCGGGCTGGATCTGCCAATGTTGTGTTACAACCGTTGTATAGTGTTGAGAACGCTTAATATTAATATTTATATAATTAATATATTATAAATTACAAAACAATAAATTTTATCGTGTATATAGGAAATGACACGTGCACTGCGCAACAAAAAAATTGCACTTAAACAAAACAGTATCTGCGCCTGCGCCGACGTCATAGTGTGTGTGCGTGTGTGTGTGTGTGTGTGTGTGCGCGCGCGTGCGTACACGCAGGTGTGGCCGGTCAGCCGCGGCGCACCGGCCGCGGTAGCTTGTAAATGCCGAACGTGACCAGGTTGGCGACCGGCTTGGACAGTTCCATGTTGATCTCCAACATTTTCCGCTTGCCGACCGTCACCGTCCGCTTGCTGAACGTGTAATAGTCGTTGGCCAACGGGTAGCTGCTCGTGTCCAGCGTGCTGGGTATGGGCAGCGTGCCGAGGTCCGATGACCGGGCGGCGATGGTGATGCCGGTGATGGTGACCAGGTCCTTGGGCGGGTTGTAGTACACGAACGCGCCGCCTTGGTGGCCGGCGGCCGCGTCGGCCGGCTTGTACGTGGTCAGCCCGCACGTCTCGATGTGCGCGTCCACGTAACCGCTGAACGTCCGGGTGCCGGAGTACGCGAACATGTTGTAGTCCGTCGTGTCGTTGTTGTTCTCGTTCCGCCAGCGCACCGTCATCGCGCACTCGAACCCGTCGCGCTCGTACTGGAACGTCGCGGACAGCGTGTCGTTCGCCTGTTCGGCGTCCGGGTCCGCGGACCGCATGGTCGCCACGTGGAAGTACTTGAAACTGCTGTCCGCGAAGTACCTGTTGAAGCGAGCGTTATTGGTTCACAAGGATGACATGACACAATATTGTGATATGATACAGGACCGCGGACAGGACATCCGCGTACGCGACACGGGGCCCGGCGAGACGCTTTTCGACCAAACTCGTGAAAAGGTCCTTCGTACCCTATTCGACCGTAACCGTGCCCCACCCCGCGGTTCGAATTTTCTATAATACGTATGACGTGCGATGAAAATATCGAACCTTTTACGTTTGGCCGAGAAGGGTATGGGTACGGTTTTGGTCGGAAACGCGGTCACGCCGCACCGATATACATCACCGGCCGTCGCGTGCAGCGTGATCGAAGAGTCACTATGCTCGCGAGTCGGGCCCGACACGGGCACGTCGTCTGTCGAGTGCAAATAATTTATTATGCAAAATGTAAAAATGTTACGTAAAATTATCTACGGCGAGGATACCGTAATTTAAATTTCATATAACCGCTTTGGTAACTTGCAGTGAGCTCTTCGATCACACTTATGTACGGTGCGTGTCCTATCCGCGTAAATAATAACATATTATTATCCGTAATGGTTGCGGTCTACCGACACACAATTAGGTAACTACAAGACATACGTCGTACGATATTATTATGTCGTCAATTCTCGTTCATAGCGTATGTGGGTGATGGTTATCGTTAAGGGCGTCTGAGCTGGATTTATCGAGGGTAGAAAATTCAGGCGATTTCGAGACACTTATAGCGCGGTGACCATAGTGTAATAATTAGCGTTTTGGCGTTTGAAACAGGAAAAAAATCAATTAAAAAAACCACTTTACAGGTAAAACAATCACGCCTAGTCGAAGAATAATCGAGTTTCGAGCTTGTTTTGTTTTGTCGAGAGAACAAATTACTCAAGTTGTACTGGACTTTGATTTTTGAATATTAACTTAAAATTAGGTCAAAAAACGTATTTAATAATACTCAAACATTTTTAATTATTTAGTTACCTATCACAATTTACGATAATTAGGATTTTAATTAATTTTTGTCCAATGCAACATGTAGAAAGTCTTCATACTTCAAAATATAAAGCATATATTATTTTCGAAAACCAACTATTTTCCGAGTTGTGAGAATTTTTATCGTGAGATCAGTTTTTGAATATTAAAACGTGCTAATTCCAACACCCCTCTTTATAGTACACCTAAATTAGTTTCGAACACGTACGTGTGGTATTTATGTACATATATATATTTACATATCAACATATCAGAGGTTAAACTTTAAAATTTGGAACATTTTGTGGTTAATGTATTTTTATTATTTACATTTATGTAGGATATTGTAGACTAATGTAGAGGGATACGTTTTAATATTTAATAAATGCATTATAAATAAAAATGTCTAATCAATAAATTGTACTCGAGGACCATCACACACCTTTATTTTGTAGAAACTGTTTTACCCAAAAAATAATTACTTAATCTACAGTCGATAAAAAACCAGTTCATGCAATTTTTACAATATTTGCTTAACTGAAGCGTTTTAATTTTTATCATGCAATTTTTTTTATAATCTTTGTGTACTGAAAAAATAAAAACGCTGTAATAGCAAAATAAATTGTTTACTCTATTGTGTACCTATAGTGTATACATTTGAATTTAATTTTGCGGGAAACCGTTTTAATTTTATACGATTCCTTAATTGTACATCAACCAACAACTGTAATAACAGGTTGAATTAGTGTTTAAACATAATATATTTAAGGTTTTAAATTTATATAATTTTTTCAATATTTTATTAAAATTGCCTATATTAAACCCCTTAAGAAACGAATGTGTGGTTTCCTCTTAAATAGAAAGCAAATAATACGTTTTTCACTGAATATTTAATTAATTTTTTTATAATATGTTATGTATATTTAATATATTTTTAATATATATAAGGAATAATATTAATATTATTTTTGCAGGTTACCCCAATTCTCCAAACAAGTCCCAACACACGCTATATTGACACTATAATACGTATCGTTATTGACATTTAAATATGTAATATTTTATAAATGTGTGAAATTAAACTGACCTGAAGTCACTGGGTCTATTTATATTTGATGGGCACTTTTCTTTACCATAAGGTAAGACTAGATTATTCGACATAAATGTTTGGAAACTACTATCGATGGAACATTTCTGTGGTTGTGTTGCACAGTTGTTGTATTGTCTTTTCAGCACTCTTGACAGTAATATTTGAGTTCCAGGTCGGTCAGGCATGAACATGACTAAAGGTCCATCCTGACCAGCGTAAATGCCGCTACCTCCTCCACCCATCGATGGAGCGTTATAACTAGCTGCTATGAGATTCACATCATTGGTATATGCCCAGCCAGCTTGCACTGAATCGGCTAAAACATTATAAATTTTGTTATAATAATAAGTTATAACTGATTTTTGTTATTTGTAAATTTGTATTTTTAGAAAAATTGTACTCCACATAATGAAGTAAATTTTCATGGCGTATGAGTAAATCCACTTAAAAAGTAATAAAATATAAAAATAATCAAGTATAAAATTTGTAATATTATGTATGTTAAAAAAAAAAAAAAAAATACTAAAAATGTATAATATTATATTTTTTATTTTTTTTTTTACTTGAGCTTGTAAAATTATGTATAAACACTAGATCGTTAAATATGTCATACTTGACAGACAACAGTGTTATGAGTTTATGATCATAATTCACAACTGACTAGCAAAAAATAAAATAAAATAAATAATAATTTGATAATTTTAAATATTGAAAACAATTATTTTAAGATATAATTTAAAAATGAATGGCTTAATTTGGTATGGTTATTGACAGTTAAAATAAAAAATTTACATTAATGACGTAATACAATGGTTTTAGTCTATGTACAATTATTTAAAACAATGTAACTTTTTTCCTAAAATCGAACGTTGTATAAACTATATACATTATATATTGGCATATTGCTACCAACAACTTGCACTGTAGAAATAAGATCATTTAATACTTTGTACAGAGTTAAGACATTGAATGATGAAAAGCTTAGTAGGTTATGCATGATAAGCGTTTACAGGGAAACAAATGGAAATAAACTGAATTCATTGACAATGTTATAAATGAATTTGGTCTTAAAAAAATAAAATAAGAAATTTTTATTTTCACGATAATTGAGTTTAGATACTTATCTTACTAGATTCATTTACTAGTGTGAAGAATATATATGCTAATGACAATTCAGAAGTATTTTGTACTACAAACTTATTATATAGAAAATAAGCATAATACTATTGAAAACTATTGAATAATTTTAAATCATAAATTACAAAGAATATGATATATTTTGAGACACTTATGTAAAAATAAAATAAATTATAAATAACTATAATTTCAACTATCTAGGTATATCAGCATGTGTATGACTTAGTATTTTCATGTCGTATTGTTTGTATTGTGTTTTATAATAAAAAACAGGATACGGTTATACCATAAAAGTATAAAATAACCATTAATAATATATTCTAACCTGTAAGCAGAGGAATTTCTGAAAACCAAGCAGTTGAAAATATAATATCCTTAACGCCCGTTTCACGAACAAGACGAGCTGCGGGATTTTCGAATAGTATATCAAAACATATAAACATTCCAAATTTCACTCCGAAATCGGTGTCGAACGTACATAATTCTGATAAGGGAGTATGATTAAATCCTAATTCTCCAAATAAGTTAAATTTTCTATATCTAAAAAAAAAATAAAAATTATCAAATATATTAAAGATACATCGAATTATAGTAAAAATTACATAATATTGTAATATTTATTACCTAGCAACGATTCTTCCTTCCCTATTAAACACCACGTTTGTGTTATAATAATAGGCTAAATCTTCAGGACACAAATCGTCATCTTCTGTCTTGCAATATTCTATTTCCGGCAGATTTACTACCACATACATATGATGAAGTCTAGCGGCACATGATAGTTTATTCAACACCTGAGAATACAAGTATTTTAAGCGTTTAATTATTATTTTAAAACAATGATTGTTTTTTTTTTTTGTACTTATACGTATGTCTATAATCAGTATAATATATTATCATCTAAATATACTTACCGTGCTGCAATATTGAGTGAAACATGGAATAGTGTTACTTTCTGGGGAAGGGATCTCTGTTAAAAAATTTCTGATTTCTTTTCGATCATCGGGTAAAGTAACTCCGGTTAAACCAGCTTCCGGGAAAACCAATATATCAACATCCTGCAATGTAATACAATAATTATTATAATTAAATTAAATCATTATTATTTATAATAAATAATAATTATAACTATAATTTTTAGGGGATTATTTGTCAAATTATTAAAATTCAATGGAATAGTCGATACATTTCATACAAGATAGGTCTATTTTGGTAAAAAATGCGGTCGAGTTTAAACCTCTCTTAAATAACATAGGACTTACTATGTATAAAATATATAAATAAATTTAGTTTTATTAACGTTATATTATACTTAGTATTATGAAATAACTAAATAATTACATCTGAATAAAATTTTACTCGAATGATTGTCTCACATATTAATATACTCATATTATTTGAATAATTTTAAAATATGATTATTCAAGTACAAAATTATTTAAATAAAATAATTGTATTCAAATATTTTTCAGATAATCATATTTAAAAAATATTTTAATAAACATTTATTTAAATAACTATTAAAATAAATATTTTTCTGATTGAATTTAACGTTTAGATTGATTCCATTGCCACATTTATAATATTATCAAAGATTAGATTTTATTTTATTATTTATATACACTTCACGTTTTACTTACATATTGACTAGCATTGTGAATAATGTCCTCATAAATTGGTAAATTGTTCTGCATTGACTGTAAAGGATTGGAACCCAAGTTGGGGTAGTACTCGACGACAGCCGCAATGTAATATTGGCTGTCATATCCTTTGCTTTTAGTCGTTTCATTTCCGCTAACCATTAGTGTCAGCTTTAAAAATGAAAAAAAATATTACAAATATATTATTATTAGACATACAATGTTTATAACTTATTATAATCACAAGTAATTTTTTTGATTGTATTGTATAAAGTTATCAAATATTATAAAGGCGCATAATGTATATTTTGATTTTACTTAATAATTATTTTTCTTTATTTAAATTAATTTAAAATCTATAACTAGCAAATGCTTTCATTTGAAATTGGAACACAGAATATAAAACACAAGTGCACATAATTATACACGTAGCAAGTTAATTTAATATTTACTAAAGAGATATCATTTTTATTACAATATAAACGTCTATATTATGCTATAATTTATGATTTCTCTTTATTGGGACATACACTTACACACACAAAACTTACAGTTATTTATAAACATTTTTTTATTATCAGATGAATGGGTTCTAGAAAACAGTGTATGTGTTTAAGAGTAAGAAGATGGTAAAAATTAGTAAAAAGCTAGAATGTACCTAATAATAATTTAGCATTTAGTGAAGTAATGGAAATTTTAAGACGTTATTATGATGGTTATTTGTCGAAAACGGGCAATAGAAAAGCAGTTCTCAAACAAAATTAAGAGATTTTTTAAACAAAAAAGTTATCAAAGAAATAGGTAAAAATTAAAATCATAATCTCAATATATTATGTAAAAGACGCATAATAATTAAGATTTATATAATTTATACAAAAATAATTGAAAAACAAATATGGTGTATCATCAATCTAATATTTTATTAAAAGTCAGAAGATTAAAAAAAAAAAAAAATTAGTTTTGTAAAGAAAAATATTTCTTAGAATTAAAAAATATTTAAACTTATTTTTCTTTGGAAAAATTACTGCAATACATATACGTGTGGGAAATAGAGGCTGCAAGTTAAGTTAGGTCATGTTATCAACTGTCTTATCGGTGGTTATATTAATATGTGGTAACTAATATATATATATATATATTTATTAATTATATATCTTAGTGTTTGGTAGTTATTAATTACATATATCAAATTTATGTAACCAAGTTCCATTTATAATTTGTAATTAGTTACTTAAATGCTGAGTAATTTTAAAATGCGATTGGTTATAATTTTTACAGTAACTTGAAGTACCTATGCATGTTATTTATGTTTTCATTCATGGAAATTGAAATATTTTGTTAAGTGTACATCGTTGTGTAAGGTAAGCAATTGGGTACCGCTCTGTTGTACATTAAATATCAAGTGGGTCACTTTGACGGATGTGCTAAATTTGAATTTAAAGATATATTATTATATATGAAAAACGATTCTGAGCGAAGACCGTCTGTTAGGCTATTATTACTAAGTATATTTTATGTTTTGTTTTTTGATATTGTTAATAGGTTAAGTGATTTATTTAACTATTAGTACCTAATTCAATAGATTAAATTAGTTTTACCGAAAATATTACATTTGATAATGTTATTATGCGCATAAAATAATATACGTAAAAATTTTCGTCTTTAAGAATAGTATCTTTGAAATTTAACAAAATAATGAATATTTTTATTTATAATTAAAATATAAAATTTTGTCCAAGTTTAACATAAAATGTTTATAAAATAAATAAATATGTTTAGGTATACATTTTTAAATTTTTTCGATTTCAGTATGAATTACTTATTACTAGTAAAAATTTTTTTATTATTTTTAAAGACTTATCCATCCAGAAATTGTATCATACATTTTTAACTGCATAACAATTTTGCTCAAATATTATCAAAAATTGAACTTTAAATGCTTAAAAAAAATAAAATAAAAAAAAAAATGGTGAATTTTAAATGTTTATAAACAACTCCGTCAAAATATTTTGAAAATTATTTATTTATAGAAAATTATTTTATGAACATTTAGTGAATATTTCTGTATCTACGATAACTGATTTTCGTAAAAGTTCTCAGTTTTTGTAATTTTTTTTTCGTTTTCCTTATTATTTTAAAAAATACTAAGAATTTTTAATTTTGACTTTCTCAAATTACATTTTCTATCCAAAATCATCTTTAAAATTGAAAACTGAAGAATCTTTTGAATACTTAGTTTGAGTATCTATATATACACAAAAACACACACATTATTGTAAAATCAATGCATTCATCATTTCGCTTAGAATCTAAAGTAATAATACATAGTTTTTATAAAACTTATACTTAACTAAAAATTTAAATACCTTGACAAAAAAAATATATGAGTAATTTGAATGAATGAAGTAAATTATGCATGAGTACTAATTAGTAAACACTTACCACGCTCATTAATGTAATGAATAGTAAAATCGAAATCATAATGTAGTTGGATAATAATTTGATAATTATATTTTTGATTCTAAAACATATTAATTTTGAGTTCACATTATTCTTCATCGTCAAAACTATATTTTATTTATATTTAAATGTTAAAGTGTGAGTTATTGATTGAATGTAAGAAATAATAAATCAAAGAATAAATTATAATGTTTGGAAGTGTATTTAATATTTCATTATCTAATTAATCTTCTGAGATTACCTAATCAGTATACCTATCATTATATCAATATGTTATTTTTAAATGTTTGAAAGTCCATCTTTAATAATTAACAGTTATCAATTATTATATCTACCTATTCCACACTAATAAAAATTATATATAATTCAGATATTAAGTATACATGATAAGGTCAACGGTAATACTTTTTTAATTGTGCATTTGATGTGTTTACGTAGGTACTCAAAAAGTATATAATTATGTTTAAAAAAAAAATAAGTTGGTTTAAAATATATTTATAATACCTTTTATCATTTAATCATATCAATTTATAAAATTATAGTTAATTTTGTTTATTTTATTATATATATAAATAAAATGTAAAAAATAAATTCAATGACTGTATATAACAATCGTATTTATAAAGTAAACAGTATTAATAAATATTTACTTAAAATAATTATATCATTTTTTTTTTTTTTTTTTTTTGAGATCCATTACCTAACGTTAAGTTGTATTTGCACATTGCTCGTAAAGTTAACTACGAATTAGGTATATTAAATTTTAATTTTAAAATACATAAACACATATGTAATTTATAAAAAAGTTACTACTGTGACTCTGTATACAAGTTAAAAATGTAATAAATATATTTTAAAATAATAAATAGTTATCCAAATGAATATTATTTTATATACGAAATTGTTTTTAATTTAAGTTGAACTTTTTGTTGTGTATGTTTTTATACTTAAAATATTCGATAAATGTTAAAAATATACCTAATACTTATTACTTTAACACTTACATTATGGTATTATGGTTATATGACTGCATAGACGACTGTAGGGCTATGTGACTATGTGTAACTGTGAATAATATGTGATTTATGCTCTTTTTACTATACGTATAAGTTAAAATTAAACAAATTAAAATATTGTCAATAATATTCAAAGTTAAATAATATATTCGATTGCAAATGTGTTTTACTGTGACGAAAGAAAAATACTGCTGTAGCTTATATTTTTATCTATAAGATTTTAATACTTTACACATGTAATCCAAAATATGATTAACAACTTGTTTACAGATTGTTAGGACACTTCACGTGTTTTATTGTTATCTAGCGTTTGTAATTAAAAACAAATATACATTATAGTTTAATGTACAAGTTGTATTACCTAGAAATAAGAAGTTGGTATACGAATCTCAATCTCAAAAGTTAACCTTATTTTATGATATTCAAATAGAAATGGAAAAAAAAGTTTTGATTAAAACGTACTTCCTGTGTAACATAAAATTATGTTGTACCTTGTAATAATAGATAACGAGTATTATTTGTAGATTCTTATTTAATTCAGTCAGAATAAAGTACGTATGGAAATTTTAAAACTTATAAAAAAACTTGTTGTAAACTTGCTCTAGTGCAGATTACCTTGACATTGAGTATTGAACCAAGGAATGGTTCAAAAAGTGTTATGAACGTTTTTCCCAATTATTAAGAAAATTAATGCGAATTATTTGCATTTGACCTCTTTAAGTACAAAGTATGAACTAGATTCAATTTGATACCAAAATCCTTCAGATTGAAAAGTGATGTATTTTTTTTACTACAAAAATTGTTTTTAGACACAAAAAAAAAAAAATATATAAAAATCTAAAAATGTTTTATTCTAACATTTTTTCACGGTTATTATTTATTATTATTATTATTATGATTATACATACGATTTTCATTCGGTTTATAGTTACTTCAAAACAATATGAATTTTAATGTTAATAGGATCCCATGCTACGAATCATAACCTACACATTGTGACAGCTGGTTGCTGGTTGCAGGTTGAAGGGGCCCGGTAAACGTCCATGTATAAACGTGATTTACATTGCCACCAAAAATATGATTACTCACAGCAAGGTCCCGGATACCAAATAGGAATCATCGAAAATATTTGTAGAAAACAATATGTAAGCTAAAGTTGCATCAAAATAAATCAAATCGCTAAAAAATCGTTGTATTTTGTTTAAATACGTCTAATAAACGTTTTTAATTACATCAAAATAAATCAAATCGCTAAAAAATCGTTGTATTTTGTTTAAATAATATCCATTTTTATCAAAATTTGAACTTTAAATGTCTATTGCAATAATTAAAAACAACATTAATATAATATGAACGATGTATTAAACTTTCAAGAATTTTGATAAGTTGAAAAGCACTAGGTAGTCATTGAAATGTTATAATTTTTAATTATAAATTAGTTTGAATTTTCTTAATTACTTTGACAAACTATGTAAAAAATGCAATACTCTTATTATGCATTTTTGATATTTTTTCATTACAACTATTTTTAAGAAACTATGTTTAACATTTTTAAGCTTTTTTTCATTTAAAAAAATATGAAGTTATTAACATTTATAAAAAAAAAAAGAGACCGATGAATCTAAACTGATTTTAAAACGATGTGCAAGCAATACATTTTTTTTTTTTTTAATATTTGTTAAAAATGTAAAATAC